TGGTAGAAAATTGACTAAGAGGTTTCATTATTTAAAAATAAGTAAATAATTAAGATCATAAATAAAAATTATAAAGATAAAATTATCTATTAATCAAATTTCTTGTCGAATATTGGCATTCAAGAAAATTAGGGAGTAAACAAAATGAGAACTTAGTAAGACCGAGAAGTTGTGACCGGATGGGAACAAATCGCTCGGCCGCACTTAGGTATCATGAAGTTTAAGAGCTAATTTTATTGACAGCCTTGACTTTTTGGTTACTTTTTTGGTCAAGCAAAAAAGTAAGAAAATTTCATTTAAAATGAATATGTTATTGTATTACATAAACATGATTCAAAGATAATTCTTTTAAAAAATTGTTACTGCTCACTAAAATATTGAAAGAAAAAAGGAATGGTTTCAATGCCTTTTAAGTAGTTAGCAATAGCATAATGCTCGTTCGGTGAATGAATAGCATCGCTATCTAAACCAAAGCCCATTAAAACCGTTTTTGTAGCCAAAACTTTTTCAAACATCGTTACAATTGGAATACTGCCACCGCTTCTTAAAGGAATGGGTTGCTTACCAAAAGTTGTCATCATAGCGCGCTCAGCTGCTTTGTAAGCCACAGAATTGGTTGGCGTAACGGCTGCTTCTCCGCCGTGGTGGGGACGCACTTCTACTTTTACACTTTTAGGCGCTATATTATGAAAATGCTTAGAAAACAACTCTGTAATTTCAGCACTGTTTTGATTGGGCACCAAACGCATAGAAATTTTAGCAAAAGCTTTTGAAGGCAAAACTGTCTTAGCTCCTTCGCCAATATAGCCACCCCAAATACCGTTTACATCTAAGGTTGGGCGAATAGAAGTTCGCTCTAAAGTGCTATAGCCTTTTTCGCCTTGAACATCTTCAATGTTCAAATGCGCTTTGTAAGCATCTAAAGAAAAAGGAGCTTGTGCCATTAAAGCACGTTCTTCGGCGCTCACTTCTTCCACTTTATCGTAAAATCCTGGAATGGTTATTTTACCATTTTCATCGTGCAAAGAAGCAATCATTTTAGATAAAACATTGATAGGATTGGCAACAGCACCGCCGTAAATACCTGAGTGTAAATCTCTATTGGGACCTGTTACTTCCACTTCCAAATAACTTAAACCTCTTAAGCCAGTAGTTATAGAAGGGTGTTCCAAACTAATTAAAGCCGTATCAGAAATTAGTACCACATCGCATTGTAAGCGCTCAGTGTTTTGTTTTACGAAGGCTTCTAGGTTGTCTGAACCCACTTCTTCTTCGCCTTCTATCATAAATTTTACATTGCAAGGTACGCCGCCATTTTGCATCATCATCTCAAATGCTTTGATGTGCATGTACATTTGTCCTTTATCATCGCTAGCACCGCGTGCATAAATTTTACCGTCTTTTACAACCGGTTCAAAGGGTGGCGAAGTCCAAAGTTCTAATGGGTCGGCTGGCTGCACATCGTAGTGACCATAAACCAAAATAGTAGGTAAGTTTTCGGCAACAAATTTTTCTCCGTACACAATGGGATAGCCTTTTGTAGGGCAAATTTCCACATTATCGGCGCCGGCAGCTTTCAGTTTTTCAGCCACAAAATCGGCAGCTTTCATAACATCTTGCGCATAAGCTTTATCGGCACTAACAGAAGGAATTTTCAGCAAATCAATCAATTCGGCAATCCATCTGTCTTTGTTGGTTTGAATGTAAGGTTGAATAAAATCCATAGTTTTGGTTTAGGCTTCAAAATTAGTGTTTTTTATGATTGAAATTAAATGCTTTTTCCTTTTAAGCCATAAATTATTTCTTTTAGAAAGTATGCAAAGCTCAGATTACACCCCGCAAAAGGGACTGAAGCGGCTAGCCTTTTTGTAGCAAAGCGGAAAAAAGCTAATAGCAAAAGGCCCGACGCTTCTGCGACCCCTAGAAGCAGCAGGGATTTGCCCAAAAAAAGAGGAGATGATAGTGACTAGATTTGCGAAAACTTGATTTTCTGTGTACATTTAAAGTTGATGCAAAACGCCGAAGACAAATTCAAAAGGAGAATCGTTCACATTGACATGGATGCGTTTTTTGCATCGGTGGAGCAGCGCGATTTCCCAGAATTGAAAGGGAAACCCATTGCAGTGGGCGGCGGCGAACGGGGCGTGGTGGCAGCGGCTAGCTACGAAGCCCGAAAAATGGGCGTATTCTCTGCCATGCCGTCGGTAACAGCCAAAAGAAAATGCCCGGATTTGATTTTTGTGAAGCCAAGATTTGGCGTGTACCAACAAGTTTCCAAGCAAATTATGGAGATTTTTAGGAAATATACTCCCTTGGTGGAACCGCTTTCATTAGACGAAGCCTACTTAGACATTTCAGAAAACTTATTGGGTTTCCCATCCGCTAAAGCTACTGCTTTAGCTATAAAAAAGGAAATTTTTGAAAGTACCCAACTTACTGCTTCGGCGGGTGTTTCGTTCAATAAATTTTTGGCAAAAATTGCTTCTGGCGAACAAAAACCGGATGGAATTACCTTAATTGGACCTGAAAAAGCGCCCCTTTTTATTGACAACTTACCTATAGAAAAGTTCTTTGGTGTGGGAAAAATTACCGCCGAAAAAATGAAAAAATTAGGCATTCACAAGGGAAAGGATTTGAGAGCTTGGGAGGAAGCTGCCTTGCAAAAAGCTTTTGGGAAATCGGGCGTGCATTTTTACAAAATGGTGCATTTAAACGATTTTCGCCCTGTGGTTCCCGACCGCATTAGAAAATCTATTGGGGAGGAACGCACTTTTGAAAAAAACATTGAATCGTATGGCTTGATTATGA